GCTGACGACTTGTTTATCTCTCCAGTTCTTTTAGTGGAAGAAGCATATAGGAAGTACAGATTCTGTATTGATTTCCGACAGCCAGACAGCATAACAGAACAGGAGGCCTTGTGTCATGTCAGTTGTAGCAGAAACTCTCGATAGCCTACAAAGTGTAAATTTATCTGAGATTTTCAAACTCCAGTCAAGATACTGGCAAATACTGATAAAAAGGGCGACAGAGGTAAAACAGCATACATTGTGGGGGCAGAAACAATGTCTGTATAGGCGCATGTCGTTTAGATTGGCAAGTACACTCTTTACATTTAGATGACTAATGACAACAGTTACTAAAAAGCTCGGAGAATGTGGAGGTGTAAGGTGGTGATCTCGGCATATACAGTCGAACTGAAAGTGGCCATAAGGAGCATGTCAAAGCCGTATTAAGAGGCATTGAAGAGTTTGGACTACGTATTAATAAGACAAAATTTCAAACAGTCGAAAGGAATATGACGTTGTTGGGACGCAAAGTAGGAGACGGTGAGATAAAACCTCTGCCAGAGAAGGTCTTGACGATAGAGACCATCGCGTCCCAGAATTATAAGAGAAAGCTACGGCGGTTCTCGGAGAGAGAAAGTATTTTATAGTCGGTTTGTGAGAAACTTCAAACGGATAGTAGCCCCGCTGTACCGACCACGAAATGAGTGAAAGTTTGTTCGATATAAAGATTCCCTGAAGATATTCGACCGCATTAAACAGTTTTTAGACCACCAGCAAATGACATTTAAAACACCTGTATATGAGAAACATTCCACGGTGTCCACGGGTGACAGCGACTACGGAATAGATGCAATACTAAGACAGAGTGGACGAGTTGTCGAATATGTCAGTCGTGTTCTAACACACACGGAGCTGAAGTATCTAACGGTAGCAATTGCAAGGGCGTTAAACAAATGAAGACCCTATCTAATCGGTCACCATCCCACATCAAAACTGATCAAAAGCCGCTACAGTAACTAAAGACAGACAGAGGCCCACGTGGGAAATTGTCCCACTTCACGATCCCTCACATTCCAAGAAAAAAAATTTCCTGACAGATTTCTTATCTAGGTCGAAAGATGAGGCCGTATTACTGGAAATTGCATACACAGTCAAAGATCCTACCCTAACCCTGAATACAGTAATACAGGTGATCACTATTGAAATGGAAATAAATCGATCTACGGCGAATGGAGAGTTAACCATGCAATCAGGCAGAAGGATCGACTATAAGTGAACGCCTACGGAGCTCTGACTTGAGGAGAGGACGGTGGAGGCTAATTGGCAGTAATACCTCATCTCTACCTCGCCAGCTAGCACATACAGGGGTAACAAGAACAACCGAACTCTTTGGAAAAAGTATGTGCTGGCCAGGTATGAGAGATGCTGAAGAATATGTATTAGGATATGCACAATGTCAGATGATGAAAGGCGATCAGTACATGCGACCTTCTGTGTAATCGATTCCAGTTACAGAAGACTAATGTGGAGTGTGCTACTGATAAGATTTATAAGTAGCATATAGACGCATAAAAAATATGCAACGAATAGCTGAGAGATGGATTTAATGAACGATACTTGTAAAACGATGTGGAAAAAAAATGACAGAAAGACAAAGAAGCACAATACTGGAGATATTTGCAAATTGTGATTCTAATATGTAGTACACGTATTTGGCCTACAACAACCAGCACCAGTCACCATCAACAGGAAAGATTTGACAAAGGTCACTTTCCTCACTTATCTAAGCAGCCAGCATCGTTTCAGACACAAGCAATCAGAACGGCTGAAGATGTCAAGACCAGCTAGCCAGCCAACTAGACAGACAGAATCGGAAGGGCAAGATACAACTTTGCAATTGGTAGTGTTCTCTGAGCTCCTTGGTTTCATTGCGGAGCTTTCATCGTCTTTCTGGACGACATCTTCATCGCAGTATTTAGGATACAACTTTATCAAATTGAAACCAGTTTCAAAATCGTCTGCTGTCACTAAGCCAGCGAAAACAACAAGATTCGGATTCTATGCAACAAAAAATGTGAAGTAAGTCAGTCAGTCACTTCTTCTATCTGGGTCAGAAAGTTGAACTACGAGTCAAGAAAAGGATTTCCAACAGTTCACTGCAGACTTTTTCAACAGCTGCCACCTTCACTGGCTGGCTCCATACTGAAAATCAAATGGCCGGCTGGTTGGCCTGGTGGACAGAAGGGAATTAGCAACAAGAAACTCCGGCGACGAACAAACCAAGCAACAGCCGATCGATCGCTCAGCAAGTAGGTATGGAGAAGAAAAAGGAGATGGATCGGGCATACACCACTGAGGGGGCTGTGGAATGACATCGTGCGCACTGCAAGCCATCACTCGAGTGGAATGCGAATGGGAAGCGACAACGAGGTTCGTCAGTGCGACAGTGACATGGAGGAGATGGTGTGTCAAGGAGGAGATGAGATATTATGGGGAATTGTTGAGCTAGCCAGTTGAATCGGACGGCAGAAAATACAAGAAAGTTGAGATGTGTTGCTGAGGCCGTATATTCCACTCGAAACCAAGGAAATAATAATAGTAATCTGTGCATCAAGTTGCGAATAAATAATAATAACTATCATCATATCCTTTAATTCCTAGAGGAACATAGGGCTTCAGCCATGCGTCTCCATTGCCTTCGGTTCTCTGCCAACTTTTTCACTCCGCTCCAAGTCTGCCCACATGCTTTCATTTCCTCTTCACATGACCTCCTCCAAGTCACCCTTGCATTGATGACCAACTCGACGCTTTCCCTTCGGGTTCCACTCGAGAGATGGTTTGTCTAGTGATGTCACTTGATGGTTTGCTTTCTCAGAGTATGGCCAATCCATCTCCACCTCACTTTCTTCCTGCCTATTTGTTTCACAATCGGTTCCTGTTTCGTTGGTTCGCTCATTTCCAGAGATCCCTGTTGCTGATCTTTTCTGCCAGGACATCTGATCTTGATTGGTATTGAGCGAAGACAACTGTTAATGAAGGTCTGAAGTTTGTTTGAGATGCTGTTTATGAGGCACTGGCCAAGTCTCTGATCCGTATAGTAAGTAGCACTGACTGACGTCACGTTGGAGTCGAAAATCGGGATCTTATTTTTGATGGTGAGTGATGTTGACCTCCACACAGACTTGAGAGTAATGAAAGCTTGTCTTGCTTTTCCGATCCTCGCTGCTTTGATGTCCTCTTCAGTTCCGCCGCCTGTAGATGAAAGGATGCTTCCCAGGTAGGTGGGTAGGTAGAGGAGGTTGTTTCATTCAGGTTCGTCTCATTTATGCTGGTTGATTGTTGTCTGTTGTTGTTGTTGTTGCTGGTGTTGGTCAGGAATCTTCATCCTCTGGCAAATAAATAATGGCGTTAGCGAATTCTCTTGCGTTCCTCCATTACACAATCATATGGCTTTTTACGAGTAAAGCCCGAGTAAATGAAATCGATCATGAAAACGAATATCTTTTGAACAAAATGTGATTGTTTATTTTTGATTCAATGTGCATAATATCCATGTTGATTAGGATTGGACAGGGATGTTCAGCCTCTGTTGGCTCTCTTGGCTCAAGGAGTCTAGTGGATAACGGTTAGGCATTTGAAAGTATGGGTATTGGGTTTGGTTTAAGTGGATCTCTGTGGGAACGCCATCATTACTCATTATGGAATTCAGGTATATCCACTAGCTGACGAGTCTCAAGTAGGATGAAACATGGATTCCACCAAACTATTTCAAAATGATTCAAGTGATCCACAACGGAAAACTCAGCGAGGCGTTTGAAGTAAACACAGGTGCTTATTATCACCAATGATATTCCTAATCGTGGTGGACTGACTGGATTATGCGTAAGACAATGAGTGGGAGACGAGAAGACGGGGATATCCTGGACCGACGTGAAGAACCCAGAAGAGCTGGATTTCGCGCGTGGATGATTTATGTTTGATGTCACACAAAATCGAAGACTTACAAGAGAAAACCGACAAACTGGTATAAGAAGCAGCTGGTGAAGACGGGACTCCAGGTTGACATAGACAAGACGGAGGTTATGAAAATAATCAACCAACAACAGCAACATCCAGTGCCAATGACCATCAATGGGAGGGGTTTGAAAGAGGTTGCTTCATTCACTCACTTATCTAGGGAGCACTGTCTCAACTCCAGGTAGTCAGAACGGACGAGAATGTCAAATCGAGCGAGAATCGAGAAGGCGAGAGAGAAACACATTCATCAACCTGAAACCAATCTGGAAACCAATCTTCGTCACTCAGCATCAACAACAAAATTCAGTCGATTTTCAATGCAAACGTCAAGTCAGTCAGTTCTTCTATACGGATCAGAAACTTGGTGGGCTGGTCAAAAATATTTTTTCCAACAGCCTGTTGCATTCATCAACAACTGTCTTCAACGGCTCTATACTGAAGATCAGATCAGATGGCCGGGCCGGAAAGAATCACCAACAAGAAACTATGGCTGGGAACAAACAAACAAAACAAGAACAAATCTCCAAACAACAAATATGCAGGAGAAAGTGGAGGTGGATTGGGCACTCGCGGATGAAAAGGCCGCCACTGAGTGACATCGCACACGCGTCAGGCCATTGCTGGAGTGGAACCCGAAAGGGAAGCGGCGTGTGGGACGTCAGTGCAAGGGTGACACATGGAGGAGGTCGTGTGAAGAGGAGTTGAAACAGTATGGACTAACATGGATGCAGGTGAAAAGTACAGCAGAAGGAAGACAGAAGTGGCAAGTGGAGACGTGCAGTTGAAGCCCTATGTTCGTTCCACTAGGAACCCAAGGGAATAATAATAATATTTCAAAATGTGATTACTCCAAAAGATGACCTTCAGGCAAGGGCTATAAGATTAAAGTCTCACAAAAAATAGAAACATTCCCTGAGTCAAAGGTATATCTTCACCTGATAAGCAAGCTAAATTCCAATAATAAACATATGGAAAAAAAACATATAAAAATGAGATAAACTTACGAACTAGTTGAACTGAAAGCGGTCAATACAGGTTCTGATAGAAAACAATAGAAACGAAATAAATTTCGTCTTACTGTAATAAAGATGAATAATGGTAAAACCAGAAGTATAATGATTGTATGAAATGTAATCGATGATGCAATGAATAGGACTAAAGCGATGAAATTCTCTTCAACTCGTTCCATCCGGCCAATTGCATATCCGATGAGGCTGATCATAGCAACTGGAAGAAGTCTAAATGGAAGATTAAACCAAGGGGATATGAATAATAATCATAATAAAAGCAAGCAAACAGAAGGCTATGATTTAATTAAATTTTAGGTTTTCCCGTCGATTGATTGAACCGAAGTGTTCGGTCCCAGGTTGATGTGTCGGCTTCTTGTGCTGATACTTCGAGGATGCCTGGGCATGTAATTAGAAGCTGATTGGTAGATGTTGACTAGCAGCGGAATCCAGGATGAACATCTTGTCCCATTTGGGACTCGTCCGCCAGCTGGATGTAACCACTTTCTGCAGTGAGAGATGAGGTTCCCACCGAGGCTTGAACCCAGTGCCCATAGTTTCAAACACCAAAGCGTTATCCACTAGACAACTTGGGCCCTAGAGCCACCACTTGTGCGTTTGAAACCATGGGCACTGGGTTCGAGCCTCGGTAGGGACATCACCACTCACTGGGGAATGCAGGTGTATCTAGCCGACGAGTCCCAAATAGGATGAACTGCGCATCCTGGATCCACCAGTTAAAAGAAACAATAGTACATCTTCTATGGTATCAACATATATATATATACATATATGGTGTTTCGCAATACGCTGAGATTGAAAGAGGGACGCTGAATCGGAAACAGACATGCTGATTTCGAATACCGCTTGGCTATGCGAACAACATGTTATACGACAGCTTACCTGTTTCCCCAGCATGCACTACTTAAGCAACAATACACAACGACTTGGGACACAAAAGAATGTTTTCACTCAATAACGTATAAATAACTTAAAATATCCCCAAGGATATGTCAATCAGTCTTTAATCATGATCAATAAAACATTGGCATTATTTTACGTCAACCAAATTCTGATTGGTTTGTTTTCAGACTAGATATCGACCACCGTGTCAATATATATATCAATAGGTGACCTGCTTGACATCGTGAATGACAACCAAGATAGTGAGATGGTGCTTACTAGTGATTTATTTGAGGGGTTGGAAACCACTTACGTTAACCAGAAGCGATTTAAATCGACTTGACTTTCTGAGATTAGTTAACCCAGAGAGATCACTTTTGAGTAAGCCAACAAGTGCAAAAAAACAGTCGTTAGATCGCTCTATCAATGACGTATATATATGATATAATGATATGGCTTTATTCTGGACGACGGCTTTTACACAATATATTGAATTCTCAGCGTAATTTACTGCATAATATTTCGTCTTCATCTATCAATTCACCCTTGCTTCCGTGGAGTCAGTTATATTGGCCACTGTTCTAGGAACCTAATTTTTTGTCCTTCACCAGGGACACTTACCAGTGTGGTGAAGTAAAGGTGCTGTCAAAACCATCAAAAGTTCTATATTGTGTCATCTCATCCACACAGGTCACAGAGCCAGCACTATAGAATCTGTCTGTATCATCTAACGTGTGTTGAAGAAATTACGAAAGGACTCTAGATATACTGAACACTCCGAATAATAGAGGCCATTGTAGTTCACTTAAATCAGGCTTACATTGATTAAGTGAATTGGTACTTTGGTTTTGAGCTCTAGTTAGCATACATGGAAAAATTGTAGCACGATCTTCCTAGTCCCATATATAAATCTCTCTGAAATTCAATTCAATTATCTACCATTTATCTTCTTAGTTATCCTCAAGACGTGGAGTTGTGATCAGCTAGTCTAGAGACTTATCCAATGAGCAGTAGGTTAAAACACAACTTCAACTTTTCGAAGTATGTGATGTCACAGGTGAAATTCATAATCTAACGCATAAATTAGTTTTGGTGGATGGTAACTAACAGTGGAATGCACCGTGGATACGCCACATTCCGTCATATTTGGGACTCATCAGCTATTGGATGTATCTACGTTCCCCAGTGAGTGATGGTGGGGTTCTCACCTGAGACTTACTCTAAATTAGTAACCCTCGTTTCAAAGGCGAAAGCACATTTTCACTAGACCACTCGGGCCGCGAGAGACGTCACCTTTCGTTTTTAATCAAAAATGTCTACGATCTCTTTCTCATGTTAGGTGGTATAATAAGGTAAGTAATGTTGACGTTAGGCGTAGAGTGTTGGGCAAAGAGGGAAAACCAATCAACGAGGCTATAAAGTTACATAGATTGAGATGGCTAGATCACGTGCTGCGCATGCCTAACCATCGCCTTCCCCGACGGGCATTACTAGCTGATATAGGTGCAGGTTGGAAAAGAGTAAGTGGTGGCCAAACAAAAACACGGTATCATTCCATGAAATCATTGACAGTTAAACTGAGTCAGGTAGGGAGATGCAGACTTCCCGGCTGGGGCCCTCGGGACTCTAGGAATCAATGGCTGGAGACAATAGGTGACATGGCTCAAAATCTTTGTCACTGGCGCAAATGTATTCAGTCTCTGTAATCTTTCATATTTCTTTCTACTATTACCCATTCTGTTTCACTCTTATACTTGTCAGACTGTATTGGTTCTCTTCACTCATCTTCTTGTCTACCTTTGTGTGCTGTTTGGAACGTGGCAACTCGAACTACTGCACTTCGGTGCCAAGTTCTATGTTGAATCCAGACAGAGACACCTTTCGTACAACGGCCATCAGTTACTGTATTTACTTTTCAGTTCACTTTTGGTTTTCCGTTGATTGATTGGGACGAAATGTCCTAGTACGGACGCTTTGATGGTGTCTAAGAATAAACTTGACAACGTTTTGTTGTTTGAAACAATGAGTACTGGGTTCGAGTGAGTTTCAGTGGGAGCTCTAAGATCACTCACTGGGGAATTCAAGTACTCCCAATAGATGACGAGTCTCGAGTAGGGAAAAATATGCAACCAACTTTCCATAAATTAAAATTAAAACTTCAAGTTAGGCCTCAGATATTTTTGAAGTGCCCTTAACAGGAGTCGATATGTCGATGGAGGTCGAACACTTCTGTTCAATCAACCAGAGGGAAAATAGAAATTCAATTTGTGTTACTTCTTTCTCTCTCCCACTCTCTATCTTAGTGGTCAAAAAAATACTACTAATGATGCACTGTGACCTCACATGTCTGACAGTCTAATGTATTCATAATTAGCGGCTATCACTGGGTTCAAATGTTCATGACTGATGATGAAAAAAGCTTTAAAAAACAAATATCAGGTTAAGATGGTAATGTATTATCGCTATTTATATACTGGAGAAAAGAATTTCCCTCTGCACAAATAATTTTACCTCAATCTTTTTCATGTCTAACCAACCCTCAACACAGTTTATACTGAAAAGTTATTATTATCATTATTATTCTTGTTCCCTTGGGTTCCGAATGGAAATTACGGCTTCAACAGTACAACTCGATTTTGTCATATTTCTTGCGGTCCTCTTCATCTGACCCCATGACTGCTCATAGTCTCAACATCACCTCTATGTCACCTTCAGACTAACGCCCAACTCGCCGTTTCCCGTTCGGGTTCCACTCAACCGATGGCCTACCGTGAAATCACATTCGATGTTCTCCTTAACTTGTGCCTAATCCATCTTCATTTTTTTCAGAATATTTATTTTTGAGCAGTAGGTCCTTGGTTGATTTGTTCACAGAGTTTCATGCTGATAATTTTTTTCTCGTCAACCATCAGATCTTCATAGTATGGAGTCAGAAAAGGCAGCTGTTGACAAAAAATCTACAGTGACCTATTGGAAATACTTTTCGTGACTAACGCGAAGTGCAAGTGCTGACTGTGTGTAGAGGATCTGCAAACTTATTTCAGAGTGATGAAGGTGTGTGTGTTGCCACCTTTCCAATCCTGACTGGCTTTGATATCCTCATCCGTGTTGTTGCCTGTAGTTAGAATGATGCTGACTGATTGGATAAGTGGATGAACCGACCTCTTTCAAATTTCTTCCGTTGATAAAGATTGGTGTATTTCTCTGCATTTCTCTTTCCCAAGGAATGAAAGACAAAACGATATTGTCGTTGTTTTTACTGACGTTACGATATTTAATGCTGCTGCTAATAGCTTTATCAAAGTAGTATTATTAAACCAGAATTTACAAAATCCAATCAGCTTATATATAACAACTTAATCATCGTTCATCAGCATGGGGTTATTTCCGCCTTGTCAAGTTGGCCAGTTGGTGAAGAATAACAAAACCAGGTGTATTGTGGGATTTGATAAGTGTGTAAAATTAAAAGAAAAGAAGAAATATCAAACATTACTGAGACTCTCAAGCAAAACAACTATCCAAAGAACTTCACCAACAAAATCTACACTGTCATTAAGTATGATCGAAAACATATTCCGAAGAAATGGACCTCAACAGTTGTCGTTCCATACAGAGCGGAGACGTCAGACAATATCAGAAGAGTACTCAATGAGCTCGACATCAGAGCTTTTTTCAAAACATCAGACAGACTGCGAAGCAACCTTGTTTCATATAAAAGACTAAATCTGTTTAAATGTATCTATAAAACAAAATGCTTGCTTGGAATGTGATGCGATATACATCGGACAAACATCACCAGATAGAGATCGAAATCAGAAAAAATGAACACTGTGGAGCCGACTCTGTTCGACCACAGAGAAATCCAGTTAGTGAACTAGAAAAGCTTGAAAAATCATCAGTCATAGGTGGTGGTAGTCTACACACTGTGCTATAGAATCGGGCCACAAAACTGATTTTAACAATATTGAAATCATCATCCAGAAAAAGCATTTCAAAAATCTCAGAGAACATCTCATATCATCAGAAGCACTTCATATCAAATGGAATCTAAATTGTCTGAATAGTCTGAATGATGGAGTAAAACACAATTTGACCTGGTTACAACACCCACACCCTCCCCCATGAAATGACCAAAATCAACACGAATGTGACTGATAAACAATTTCATTATGTAAACACATTCGGCTTTTATAAATTTACCCACTTATCAAATCCAACAATCTACATCTGGTTTTGTTGTCTTTATCAGTCGATCAACTTGATAAAGTAGAAATTACTGCATGCTGAAGAAAGATGAATGACTTGACATATATATATATATAAGCTTGAATTTTGTAAATTCTCGTTTAATAATATTTTGATGAAGCTATCAGCAGCATTGAATACCAAAACAGCAATAGAAACAACGACAATATTGTTTTGTTTTTCATTCCTTGGGAAAGGGAAATGCAAATCCTTTTAAAGATAATGGTATTTGCATTACACCTGATATATGTCACCAGGGATTTCCTGTATATAACATTTTGTCAAACAAATAAAAGTATGTTCAATTCTCAGTAATGCATATATCTTGGTATTGTATAGGTTGTAAGTAGTTGAGACAAGCTAATATTGTTCTTGAATTATTATTTGGTTCTTTCACGTTCCCAGAGGAATACAGGGCTTCAAGCGTGAGACTTTGAAGTTTTAATAGCATAGGGATTTTTACGCGATGGGGATTGCTAGTCTCATGATCAACCTTCCCTCTCTATCGCGCTTGCCATCAACTAAGCGCGGTTTAGGATTGTATCTTGTTTTTGTTGTGTTTTTTTTTCGATTGGACACTAGCCAGTAACTAGCGTAATGTGTGTATCTAGTTCTATCTTTGGTGCATACTGAATTCTATCACTCAAGTTTGCAGTGTGACTACCATGAGCCACTAGGTGGTTCGCCATCACAGTGAACTGTGAATTGTTGGTATTAGACGGCTGGAAGCAATAGGCCACAGGAAGCCTTGCCTGACCTAGGTTTTGCGCTCATTGGTTAGTAACGTCTCTGACTGCAGCGCTCACTGGGTAACACAGGTTCGAATCTCAGAAGGGACATGATTTCCTTCAGGGCTGCAGATACAGCTTGCTAACTGATGAGTACCATTCAGCACGAAACCAAGATCAGGTAGGTGTTCCTGCCCATTGCCTCCAACTATCTAATACTAACAATTTAAGACTGTATCGGCTGAGGATCAGACCCTGAACTAAGTAAGTGAGGCGTGGTTGGCGAGCATTCTAACGTTGCACCACCGGCATACCTGTTCTTGGATTACTCAATTTTTCTATTGAGAAGAGTTACATGTGAAGTTTTCAGATGAGGTCAACTTTAAGATGAAATGGTTGTTATTTCAGAGGATTATCGGTTTATATTTAAAACAATATTTGTAAAATTCTCGTATAAATTCCACTTTAGGAAAGTGGTGAACCTACTTAAATGTAATAAAGTAATAAACGCGCCTAAATGAAGTGAAGGAGTGAGTATCAGTATGGTAAGGACTATTTCGAAATTATGCTGATCAATATTTTACAGTTTGATAATTATGAGTCTATATTAACATAAGTGCAGACTGTAAACTGTCCTAAAAAACAAACTCTAATTTACTTTCAAGCGTTAGTTTGTAGGGATCTGATTTTTTTCAAGTTTGCCCACAGATTGGTATCAGTTGAAGGACCTCTGAGAACCAGGGAGTACTGGATAGCTGTTTCAGCCCCCATAGTTCGGGATTCATCGGCAGGCAATATGCACCCACCACCACGGTTCGAACCCAGGACTTTCCGACTAAAAGGTGAGCTCATTGACCATTCAGCCACTGGGATCTGACTTCTCAATGGCCAGCCCATGAATTCCAACTTCTACAAATCCACGATTTGTCATCTGTGAGCATTCGTCCTCCTCAGACTCCCAACCGCATGGAGATCAGCCATCAAGACTTCTCAGTAGAACTGCAATCACCTTCATTCTGTAGCCAGTCACTAGCAAACATCGAACCCTTGTGAGTGCTAACTGATGAAGGGTCCCAAATTAGGACGAAACAACTCTCCAGTACTTCTATCTGGTTTCCAATAGTTTTCTAACAGGATATCAGCTCATGATCAAACATGAGAGAAATTAAATCCCGACAAACTAACTAACCCTTGAAAATGAATCTGATTTATTTCTCTAATATTTGAAATAGAAATCAGTACTGGCTGTTGTATGCAAATCAAATAATCGATAAACCAGAAGGCAAGTTTTTAAAACAATCAACAACATAATAATGCTTGCTTACTTGATAATAACTTCTGTGATTACAGTCATTATTTCAGAAACAGACTCAGCCAATTCAATTAATGGACGAACTTTTTCACCACGACATCCAGCTACTAGGCCAATAACCAAACTGGTTGTAAGAATACCTGGAAATATATTTTGTTAAAAGGTTCAAAATACATAAGGAATTGATCAACTTTATTGTCATACTAATAAATTATGATAAAAACAATCAAATAATTACAAGCTACTCTCATTGTGTGTGTGTGTGTTTTCGACATAGAACTTTGCACAAATGTGCGGAAGTTCAAGTCGCCACATTCCGTGTAGCACGCGAAGCAAGAGAAGAAAGTACAAGAAAAGCATAATAGAAACAGTGAGCAGAGGTGTGAGACAAAGGAGTAATAAAGAAATACAAAACAGTTTCATTGAAGATCATAAGTCACAGGGAGTGGATGCATCTGCGCCACTGAGAACGATTTTGAGCCGTGTCGCCAATTGTTTCCAACCATAGATTTTTACCGTCCCGAGGACCCCAGCCTGGAAGTCTACACCTTTCTACGTGGCTTAGACCAACTGTTGTGGATTTCATTGACTGATGCCAAGTTTTTGTTTGACCGCCACTAGCTTTTTTCCAGCCTGACCCCTACTCTCATTGTATGACATGTGTACAATAATAATAATAATGATAATAGTTTTATACTATTTAATTCAATTTTAGATTTTCCCGTCGATTGATTGAACCGAAGTGTTCGGTCTAAGGTTTACATGTCAGCTTTCTGTACAGATGCTTCGACGATGTCTGGGCATGTTAATTAGAAGTTAATTGGTGGATGGTGACTAGAAGTGGAATCTAGGATGCGCATTTCGTCCCATTTGGGAATCGCCAACTAGCTTGATGTACCTGCATTCCCAAGTCCAAAATAGGACAAAATGCGCGTTATCCTGGTGTATTGCACTGCTAATCACCATCCACTAATTAGCTTTATACTATTCTTATCACACAAAATGTATGCTAAATAAGGTATTGTAGAATTTTCATACTTAGCCGTCCGAGCATGTAGTCTTCTGTACTGGTTTCTAGTTCCCCTAACTGATGAGATTCAATCGAGAGAGTTGTCTGTAGATAGGATGCTCAAAGTTGACAAAATAATATTCACTAATCTCTTGAATAAGTCCATGTGTCTACATGCCTACAACAGTATTAGCAAGTAGGTTTAGCTACACCACACTCGCCCTATTGACAGCTTTAGTCGCCCCCTTCACAGTGTGATAAATTCTTTTTAAGATGGGAACATTAAAGAAAAACAGGTAGAATTACCAAAGATTTAACGAACTGTAAGAGTTTAGACTGAATGACACCAGACTATTTCAACTTTCATACGTACAACTTCGAACGAAGTATCTTTCCAAAATAACAAAGGTTTTCGTGTTTCCTAATGAATGAAAAACAATGGACGATATTGTCGTTGTGTTTTACTGACGTTTCGCCATTCAATGCCGCTGCTAATAGCTTTATCAGAGTAGTATTATTAAACTAGAATTTACACAATCCGGTCAGCTCATATATGACATTTTAATCATCGTTCCTCAGCATGGGGTCATTTTCGCGTTGTTGCCAAGTTGGCCAATTGGTAAAGATAACAAAACCAGGTGTAGATTGTTGGATTTGATAAGTGCTAGAGTTGTAAAAGCAGCGTGTGTCTATATAATGAAATTGCTTATCACATTCGTGTTGACTTTGTCATTTCAAGGGGAGGAGGGTGTTGTAACCAGGTCAAATTGTGTTTTACTCCATCATTGAGACTATTCAGACAATTTGAATTCCACATGATATTAAGTCCTTCTGATGATATGAGATGTTCTTTGAGATTTTGAAATGCTTTTTCTGGATGATGATTTCAATATTGTTAAAATCAGTTTTGTGGCCCGATTCTATAGCACAGTGTGTAGACCACCACCACCTATGACTGATGATTTTTCAAGCTTTTCTAGTTCACTAACTGGATTTCTCTGTGGTCGAACAGAGTCGGCTCCACAGTGTTCATTTTTTCTGATTTCGATCTCTATCTGGTGATGTTTGTCCGATGTATATCGCATCACATTCCAAGCAAGCATTTTGTTTTATAGATACATTTAAACAGATTTAGTTTTGTTTATCAAACAAGGTTGCTTCGCAGTCTGTCTGATGTTTTGAAAAAAGCTCTGATGTCGAGCTCATTGAGTACTCTTCTGATATTGTCTGACGTCTCCGCTCCATATGGAATGACAACTGTTGAGGTCCATTTCTTCGGAATAGTTTTCGATCATACTTAATGATAGTGTAGATTTTGTTGGTGAAGTTCTTTGGATAGTTGTTTTGCTTGAGAGTCTCAGTAATGTTTGATATTTCTTTTTTTTTTAATTTACACACTTATCAAATCCCACAATACACCTGGTTTTGTTATTCTTCACCAACTGGCCAACTTGACAAGGCGGAAATAACCCCATGCTGATGAACGATGATTAAGTTGTTATATATAGCTGATTGGATTTTGTAAATTCTGGTTTAATATTACAACTTTGATAAAGCTATTAGCAGCAGCATTAAATATCGAAACGTCAGTAAAACAACAATATCGTTTTGGTCTTTTTTATTCAAAGGGAAATACAAAAGGAAGACTTTTATTATAATGAATATCACATACTCAATGTCCAAATTTTTTCAAACTATTAGAAGTGAACTTGGTTTGGACATATATCTCTTTTCCAAAAGTTACAAGATGTAGAAAGATTGGAAAATATCAGATGGAGTACACAATTGAAGATGTTTAACATTCGTCTTAGTTTGAACTTCAGTGTCATCTATGGTGGTGGAATCATGCAAATGAAGCAGTTCATGTAAGTCACGCTTGCGTGTCTGAAATTGAAACTAACAACCTGAAATTTGGAGGAACTTAGCTTAAGATCGATAGCTAATTTCTAATAAAGTGTTATTCATGAGCTGACCCCGGTTACACTACCTGTTTCCTCTGTCCTATTATGGGACTCTTCAGAAGTACGCACCCACCACCCGGTTCGAACCAAGACCTTCTGACTATATGGCCAGCGAGCTAGCCGTAGACCATTAAGCCACTCACTGGAACCCACCCGAACCAATGGCCAGAGTATGAATTCTAACTTATACTAGTTCACGACATAGCACGATCGCTAGCCAATGTCTTCGGCGAGTATTTGTCCTCACACCTGACCTGCTGCACCCTACTGGTCACGACTTTCCACTAGAACCTCAGGTAACTGCCTGCATGAATAAGGCCAGTCGCCAGTGAGCATCTCATCGATATTGGAGAACTGGTTTGTAAGTATTTGATTGATTGGTTACAGAATTTCATCATGAGCTGACATTGGTAAGAGAACCATTGGAAAACCTGAAAGAAGTACTGGACAGCTGTTCTCCCCCCCATCCCAGTTTGAGACTCTTTAATAGTACGCACCCATCACAGATTTGTGATCTTGGATTTCTCAGTGACTGGGAGGGATGAGAAAACGATTAAGCCATCCATATTTTGTTAGCAGACATGGAGTGGACAATATCTTCTTACTACAAATTTTGTTCCGATGCAGTATAAACTTTCCCCTGGTGAAATGCCTGTCCTTAAGGGCCCGTTAACTTTCCACGGCAACAACACATTCATAAATTACTTACGGTACAATACATTCACTTTTATTGGCTAGTGGTTATCCTGAAAACGTCATTAGATATCATAGTAAGGGGAGACTACCTCTTTAAAAGACAGTTTCCGTACCGAAGAAAGCCATCTATATTAAACTACCATTGAAGAATGAACAAATATGCAATTGACAGCTGAAGGACTTCCTTCAATCAGCTATCAAGCGCACATTCTACACCGTATCATTTTCCTTACACTTTGAGCATTTTTGATTCCTGAACCTACGATTACACAACGAAATCCTGTAATTTTACTTCACACTGCATCTACAAGTTCACTTGCACTTCCGGTGACATGTATACACATAGAACAGATGAATGTTTCAATGTTGTCGTCAGAATGAACATATTCCTAAATTGTTATTAAGTCACAAAAAGTTCAATTTACTTAATCTGAATAGAAGTCCATCATATCATCCACCATCATCCATAGCGAGGCACTTATTAGTGTCTGGTCATAAAATCAATATTAATTATAATGACTGCTTCTCAATTATTTCACCACATAACTCTAATTCAAGGTTGGTCATAAAGATGAGGATGGAAGCATTTTGCATTGATCACATGCATTCCAAACTATTATGCAAAAAAAAAAAAAAAACAATAGACTCCAACCTTTACCTACAACCTGGACTACATGACCTACTAAAATATGACTGAGTGATTATTAGTGTGTATAACTGAGTAATTGTCATACATTTTATGATAGTGAACCATGCTAGTTATTAGGCGATTCTACAGAAACTACGATATGTTATTATTATTTCACAATATTTGTCTTCTTAATATGTCGTATTGAAAATCACAAGTCATATTATCATGTCGAGAAATAGACTTTAAGAAAAGCAGAGAAGTGGAGATGTTCACCAACATTTATAGAAGAGACAGTGAAGCATAACGGAAGGTGAAGAGAAGAAAGGATATGTGATAATACGTTTCAAAAAAATATGAACGCGTTTGAAGCAATATGACTTTTTCCAAGTCAAATTGTGGGTTTTTCGTTGTCATTTTTTGTCAGTCATATGCCTTGGAGATTTCATATCCAAAGTAACAGACTTCAAGTGTTGGTTTGTGGGGATTTGATTGATTGATTGATCACAGGATTTCATCATGAGCTGACATCAGTTACTGAACCATTGGAAAACACCTGCAGGAAGTACTGGACAGTTATTTCCTCCATCCTAGTTTGGGACTCTGATTCAGGTGTTGGAACCAAAAACCTTTTTGATTACAAGGCGAGCTAGCTCGTAGATCATTGATCCACTGGGATCCGATCCAACGCCAGCCAGTCCATGAACTATAACTTCTGACAATTCACGACATAGCGCGACCGCTGGTCAATGTCTTCGGTGAGTATCTGTCCTCACACCTGACCTGCTGCACCTACTGGTCATGACTTATCACTAGAACCCCAGGTAACTACCTACATGAATAGGG